TCCCCCCCCACGTTGTTGTCAGAAAGGAAGAATCATCCAAGTCACTTAACATTTGGGTGGTAAATCCTTTCTTATTACACTTATTGTCATTATCTACATTTATTGCATGTTCTTATTGTTACATTCATTGACAATCATTGAACACATACCTGATATTTATTATTCTTGAACACGGTCCCATATCATTGATACACCCCAGTTTTAGATCTAGAATTGATTACGTTTAACTAGGATTCATCCTCTATTTCATCATTAATTAGTTTAACAGAAAGCTTAACACTTTTTGGTCAAACAATTTGGCGCCGTCTGTGGGGAAGTTCTAGTTAAAATTTTAGTTTCTTCTAGATCATAAAAAAAAGACAACCATTTTTTTCTCGATTGTACGAACTAACAATGGCAGGAAAAGGAGATGAAAGACAGAAAGCAGTAGTGGGCGTCACTACCAAAATCTTGAACACCATCAATGAGGATTACAGAGAACACGAGGAGAATGTGACGCCAAGCGCTACACCCAGGCGAAGTGACTCACCTCCCCCTCATGGAAGTATGACCACCTCACGGGAAAGGGGAGCTTCCACGTCCACAGCTGATGAAGCGCCACCAGCTGAAAAAACTACTGGAGGAATGGCTGACAAGTACTCTAAACATTATACTCGACAAACCCGTTCAAAGGGCGAACAGACGCCGCACAAGTGGATACCACAACAACCGCCGACGAGCAACCTGCTCTCCCAACAGGTAACACTCACACAGCTGTTGATGCAGGTAACAACGCACTTGCGGCCATTCTAAAGAAAATGAAAGAAATGGAGAACGAGAATAAGGCGCTCCGCGACCAGATGAGGGAACATCAACAAAGGGTTGATAAAATAGCAGACGCCCCGAAACTGCTACCTAAACAGGACGTCGACCGGTTCGTCAAACAACCATACAACGAGGAGGCAACCCCACATGCCATACCCAAAACCTTCAAAATACCACCATATTTGAAGATATACGATGGCACAACAGACCCCGAAGATAACATCATTCATTACCTTATAACAATAAAAGGCAACGACCTTTCAAAAGGGCAGGTACCATCAGTGTTGCTAAAGAAGTTCGGCGAAACCCTAATATGGGGAGCCTTGACATGGTATTCACAATTACCAGCACGTTCAATAACAATATTCGAGGAAATGGTCGACAAGTTTGTCACCACCCACGCAGGGGCTAAGAAGGTGGAGGCTAGGGTGAATGATATATTCGCCATCAAGCAATTACCTGGTGAGGGATTCAAGGACTTTCTCGCTCGGTTTAACAGAGTAAGAATAAGCTTACCAAACGTATCAGAAGGGATGGCGGTGGCAGCCTTCCAAAATGGGTTAAATAGGAATGGTTTGAGAGCAACAAGAAAGTTGTTAAGCAGACTCATGAAATACCCTTCCACCACTTGGGAAGAAATTCACAACGCCTATTACACTGAGGTAAGAGCAAACGAGGATGACCTCAACGGTCCAACCCAATGGCTAATATCGGTCCAAGCGAAGTCGAGGAAAGTTTGTCATAACAAAGGTCGAAGAGACCATTCAGGTCCATGCCTCAACCGAGACAGGCACCAACCATATGTTAGAACAGCCATGCCACCATCTCCTCGCCATATGGAAGGGTCGTCCAGGCCACACATAGGGACTCAGCGAAATGAAAGAGGTATGTCTCCACTCTTATCTGCTCATAATTTTTGTGTTTCCCCTTCAAAAATAGCGTACGCACTAGAGAAGCTCGACCCGAAGGTAAAGTGGCCACAAAAGATGAAGTCTGACCCAAGTACCAGAAAGTCCAACATCCTCTGTGAATTTCATCAGGAGCGGGGGTCACAAAACAGAGGAATGCATAGCCCTATGGCAAAAAGTGGTGAACATGCTTCGCCAAGGACACCTAAGGGAGCTGATGAGTGACCGAAGAAGAGCCGACTTAGGCCACGGACGAGAACAACACCAAGGCCCTCCAAAACCACCCTCTCTCACCCGCACCATCTAAATGATCATCGGCAGAGGCGACGAAGCAGCAATCAATCACGTGAAGTTCACCACTGTCACACCTCCTTTTTCCGCACCCGATGGGGTGCAAGGGAGTTTTTTCCAATTAAAG